GGGCTCCACACCCAATGTACCCGCTAACCCTCTTCCTGACTTCTTAGGCATGTTTGCTACTAAAACATTGGAAGACTTCCCTGTCACCTCCTTCCTAGAAAGGAGTCAGACCTTCTGACCTTATAGAAGTGACCACCAGGACTGGAGGCCTATATTCCTCAAGTGTTTCCAGAGGCACGTGGGCAGGCAACTGAGCCAGCTCCCTGGCCAGATTCCCAGAGAGAGAGAGCCCTCATTTGTGGCTGACCCGTCTTCCTAGAGTGGTTTCTGCATTCCCCCACGGACCCCTCTGTCTCATGTTTCCTTCCTAGCACATATACAGTGCCCCATAGCTCGTCAGATAACTGTGGAAGGCGAAGCATCACCCCATACTGCCTGCTCACCCTCAGCTTCCCTGGGAGAGGGCACACTTTGTGGGTCGTTGGCAGAATGCCGCTCTCCTGGGCAGGAGGCTGGCAGTCTTCAGAACCAGGGCTAATGTCACCTCTTCGTCTTATTTGCTTCCCCTGACTCTTGCATCCCTGTGTCTCACGAGTGCCCTGGTGGCATCTGACATACACTTGGCTGTTGGGAAGAGACCCAGAGGACCTTGACCTGGCATGATGCTTGAAAAGCCTAGGAATGGTCTCTCTTTTAACTGTATTTAAATAGAGTCAATATCAGTGGCATCTGGATGTATAGGGGATCCTTGAGGGTTTTTTTTTTGGAGGGGGGAGACTCTAGGCTGCTTTCCGAGCTCGTTGTCATTACCTGGTAGATAAAGGCCTTGGCCAGGCTGCAGGAAGAAAGACTTTGCCTTAAAGTCCCCTCCCTGAAGTCAATGCCTGGGTCACATGTCCCAGAAGAAGGGCAGTCTGAAGACACATCTTCCCTCTCCACTATATCCCTGTTCCTATGTCAACCCCCTGGGCCCTCCAAGCCCACTCAGGTTCTCAAAAGGTGGTTAATGTGACTTTTCTCCCAGGCATATCCACCATTCTTCCACTGTGGTCTCTCCTTCACAAGCCCTTTCTTCACTCCATCCTTCGGATGGTTCTAAAGACAGAGTCCCGGCCTCAGTTTCCCTCCAGGGGTTTGGAGTTGCATTCCATACTCTTTTGCAATATTAGCTTTTGCTCTTCACAAAAGTGGCGCCAGAAAGAATTAATTATTCACGACCCAATACCCAGGGATAATCGCTGCCAATTCTGGTGCCTTCCCTGAATCTCCTCTCTTCATGCACCAGCAAGAAGAGATTTTAATTAAGACACAAGCACACAGTCTACAGTCCTGTGTGTCCTGCTCTATCAACGGTTTAATGTGCTCACATGCTTGTGGTCTTAAAGACTTTTCCTCCATTTTTAAGGGCTGCATAGCATTCTATGACAAGGTGCTCACCATAGGCTGTAATCAATTTTGTCTTGTGAGCCATCAAAATTGACTGTTGGTTTTTGGTCATCATGAAATTCACAGAGCTATGTACTTAGGACGATAAATGGCCCTCTCCTGATGTTAAATTTAAAGAAAGCAATTGTGGGTTAAAGGATTTGTGCTTTTTAATGCTCTTAATAAATTTTTACCAAACTGCTTTCTAAAAAAGTCTTGACTTAACTACATTTCCACAAGACTTGGGCGAAAGTACCTCCTCTCCTCTTCCCCACTCCCTTCCCCTGCCCCTCCTAATCTCACAAATGAAGAGACTCATCATTTTGAGGGATAAGGTTTTGTTCTATTTCAAGTTTATCTGATCTCCAGTGAGGCAAACATTTATGCTGAGTGTCAATTCGCCATTGGTTTTTGGGGATGAGAAATCGTCGCCTCATCCCCATTAAGCCGGGGTGTGAAGTCCCTGGTTTGTCAGCCCTGGCTTCGTGAGCACACTTAACCTCCCCTTGCCACATGTGTTGGGGTGTGCCTTTCAGCCTCGTGAAGGTGTTTATTGACGGGAACTGCCTCCGTATCTGCTTGCTGGACATCTTTTCCTACAGGGCTCGATGGCATTTCAAACTCCACATATCCCAACTGAGGTTCATCATCCCCCACCCCAGCTTGCGCTTCCCGCTGATGTGCTGATTTCTGTTAACGTCACCGCTATTTTCCTCCTCACCCAGGCTTGAGACGCGGACAGCGTCTCAGATTCCAGCTTCTCCCTCGTCCCCCCGTGTTCTGCCAGCTGCCAACCCCATAGGTTCTATTTCTGTGCTGCGCTGGCAGGCAGCCCCTCCAGCACCCCGGGGGCTCTGGGGCTCATTATTTCTTGACTAGACTTTGAACATAGTCTCTTAAATTCCCCCATGGACACCCCTTTCTTCTTCGCCCCTTCTATACTCTGTGCTCACATTCAGTTTCCAAAATCAGTGTTCAAACTCGGGGCCCTGGGTACCCAGGGCACACCTGTCTATTGTCTGCGGTAGTTAGCTCTGCCCTCTTAGCCTGATCATGACCTTCTCTCAGCCGAACCCTCTGCTGTCTCAGCATGTTCTCCTCTATCAAGTTCACAACCTTCCCACCCCCTGTCCTCTCTGCTCAAAGCACCCCTTCCTCTTAGAATTCCCTCCTGCCGCCTCTACCTTTCAAAATCCATCGACAAAGCTCACGCTCATGGCATGGCAGCTCTGCTAGGATTCCTTGACTCGCAGTTGAAGGGAATTCACCTCTTGATGTCTGACTCTCTTTTGTAACGTGTGTTTTATTGTAGCTTCTGGTGAGGTTGCTAGAGGTCTAGGAAGCGGAGTCTCTGGGGGATTCTTCCCCTCAGGATTATTTCTTCTACACAGGGCCTCTCAGCAGCAGGCCTTCAGCGGCTGTCTCTAGAATTCAAAGCAACTCTCCTTAGCTTAGTGTGTGTGAGTTCAAGGCCACTGTGAGAAGAGCAGGCCTGTCAGTCCAGGGTCAGAGTCCAAGTCTACTTTGCAGAAGACTGAGCTGGACTGAGGAGTGGCCTCTGGGACAAAGCACCAGCCATTATCACCCCCTTTTCCTCGTGACTTACGGGCTATTTATTCAATGCCCTTCTCTTGTCCTTGGTCAGGTCGTCCATCCCTTTGCCTTGTGCAATGTGTGACATGTGGAAGTTACCTCACAAGTTGACTGTTGAGGACAGAAAACCAGGGAGTTCCAAGGAAGACCAGTCCTTGGACTGAGAGTTGAATGATAGCTGGAGGGAGCTGGAAGCCCCCTTACCTTGTCACACAAGTTCCTGCACCAGCTAAGAGTTTTTCTCTCCTTAATGTATTTAAATGGAGTCAACACTGGGGTCAACTGTGTGCACAGGCGTCTTCAGCTCTGGAGGTGACTCTGCAGCCGGCACGGGAGTTTGCGATTGACACAGTCTATTTTTAGCCTCCCAGAGACCGTGACCAACATCCCAAGCAGAGGGTGGGTGCACCTGCAGCATTTTGATGAGGCAGCCCCACTCGCCAGCCAGCCTGGCCCCTCCTCGACCCGAAGGCCTGTGTTGCTAAACTGGGAAGTCTGCTGTTTTCTAGGGGCAGCAGCCGGGATGCACCTCTTGCCCCTTGCAGCTCATTCCTATCTAGTTTCAGACACAGGGTGGTCTTGAGGCTGTGCCTGAGGTAGGAGGGAGGGAAGGCATCACTTGTATTTCCCCATCTGCTCTGTCCCAGGGGCTACCTTTTCCCTTGACTGTAAGTCTGAGTTGACCTAGCTCATGGAGAGGCAAATGAAGACAGGACAAGGATATTATATGTGTATATAATCTGTATGATCCAGATGGTAGTAATGATAGTAGCAACAATAAAGAAGCCTTTATTATAGGTACACCACGTGGTTATCTAGTACTGAGAGAAACTGGCGTTAATGCCTTGACTCTTGCAGAGGTCTCTCTTTCTGTGTGTGTGTGTATGTGTGTGTGTGTGTGTCTGTCTGTACATATATGTGCACATATATTTGGATCCCAGAGGTCAACCTTGTGTTATTCCTCAGGGGTCATCTACTTTGTTATTTTGAGGCAGGGTCTCTTACTGGGTGCCAGGGTTCACCCATTAGGCTACACCGTCTGGCCAGCGATTCAGGGATCCCCCTGTCTCCACCTCCCCAGTGCTAGGATTATGCCTGGATTTTTACATGGGTGCTAGGAGGAAGCATGATTAATAAAAACTCACAGACAGATATTGGGGTTCAACTTGAAGACCAGAAAAGGCAAAGCAACCAGCCACTGACTCTTACCTCAACCTCAGTCCGAAAATGGCAATCCTGCCTCTAGGAAACCTCAGAGTGAGACTGAGAGTTGTCTCTTCCCGTTTAATAATCCTCTCTAGTTCTTGGATTAAGGGCATGTATCACTACCTTCTGGTTTCTATGGCAACTAGTGTAGCTACTGGGATTAAAGGTGTGTGTCATGGCTGCCTGGTCTATAAGGCTGGCCAGTGTGGCTGTTTTACTTTTCTGATCTTCAGGCAAGCTTTATTTATTAAAATACAGATGAAATGCCACTACACTGGGGATTGGGTTCATGCTTCCCTGACAGGCGTTCATGCACTGAGCTATCTCAATGGCTCCTTGGGGGCTTTCATTACGCCCTGTATTTATCAAGGAAAGAACAGAGACATGGTGGTGGTACACACAATCCCAAGGTCACACAGCCAGGAATTGGGATGGAATCCTGGAATCTTGAAATTTATAGGCAAATGGATGGATCTAGAAAACATCATATTGAGTGAGGTAACCCAGACCCAGAGAGAAAATATATGTGCTCATTCAGAAGTGGCTTTTAGACATAAAGCAAAGAAAAACAAGCCTACGGTTTACAATCCCAGAGAACCTAGACAACAAAGAGGACCCTAAGAGAGACATACACGGATCTAATGTACATGGGAAGTAGAAAAAGACAAGATCTCCTGAGTAAATTGGGAGTATGGGGACCTTGGGAGAGGGTAGAAGGGGAGGAGAGAAGAAGAGGGAGAGTGGAGGAAAATATACAGCTATGGCTCAATACAAACAATAAAGAAAAAAAGAAATCTCGGAGGCAGAACTAACTTGGGTCCCTTCTCTCCCTTTAGGTGAGCAGTGCCCCCTCTCAGCCCCCGCAGCCTGTCATCCCAGCCAAGCCTGTGCAATGCGTCCACCATGTGTCCACACAGCCCAGCTGCCCAGGGCGGGGCAAGATGTCCAAGCTGCTGAACCCCGAGGAGATGACGTCAAGGGATTACTATTTTGATTCGTATGCTCACTTTGGGATCCACGAGGTAACACACTCAGGTTGGGGACCAGCGGGACAGGTGTGGCCCTGTCATTTCATTCTTGTTCTCAGAGGTGATAAAGAATGTATGTCCAGCTCTCTCCCACCTCAAAGTGAATCCCTCTGGTGCCCCTGAACCCTTACCTCTCCCCCTTGTGTGGTTCCCTTTGGGACAGCCATGGCCAAGCCAGGGCCTGGAGCAGGTGAGTAGGTAAAAGTGGTGTTTGTGCACTCCACCTATAATCCCAGCACTTGAGAGCCTGAGGGGAGCTCAGAGGACTGTTGAGGGTTCGAGACCAGCCTGGACTACATAGCGGGCCCCTGGTCAGACTGAGTTACAAAGTGAACTGCTATGCAAAATGAATGGCAGCAAGTTGGGGGTGGGGCTACCATGGGGTGCTTTGAGCTTATATTTAATCTTCTGGCCCTGGGTCCGTCTCTAACCGCCAGTCCTGGGTGGCCTGCACATCACTGATGCTGACAAGGAGTCGAAGTACTTGCAGCCGATGCACTGAGGCGATCCTGGACTCCTGGAGGCCGTGATGCCCATTAATTAATTTATCCAAGGGGCATCTCCAGGGAAAGAACCGGGGTGAGATCTTATAGACAGGACCCCCCCACCTCTGACACTCTGATTCCATTTTTGCAGTTCTCAGGTGAATACTCAGCCCCCTTCCCAACAGAGAAGCCTTGTGTCAGCCCCCAAACAGAAGCAAACCTCGTGGCTATTGTGGGTACAGGACGGAACTCATGCCACACCTCATTATATAATTCCCTAGCATTGTCCCAAACTGCCCCCAAAGCAATGTGTGGGCTTCCACTTGCCAAGTGCTGGGCATGGTTCTAGTTGTGACCGACATGCCATTTTCATTTGATCCTAGTAAGAACCCATGAGAAGGATATCCCCATCATCCCTAAACACAGGGAAGAAAGTCCTGGGGAAGGAGGCGATGTTTACCGACTGAGGCTCCCGGCTGTGAGGATGTCTTTGCAAACCAGCTCCTGTGGCTCCCTGGCGATGAGACCATGCGGAAGGTCTGCCTCCATCCAAATTGCCAGGCTGCTGCCAGGGAGGTTTTTAATATCGGCAGTCAGCGGTTTTGAGTTGTGAAATGCTTATTGTGTACTGGGTGTTGTTCCAAGCAGTTTGGATTATTGGCTCATTTGCTTCTCTGATTAGCCTTATGCTGCTACTGCTATTAAGGTCACAGGTGATCCAGGGCCTTAGCAACCAGCCCAGCCCTCATCCTAGCCTTGTTCTGCATGAGGCTAGCAAAAACATCTAGGAATTCAACCTTCCCCATTTTGGCACACGGACTTCATTACTAACTGCCCCGTCACACACCTTTTAAAATGTTTCCTTCCTCTGTACTCCCTGACCCTCACAGAAATCTTAAGGGTTGAGTGGACTCACCTGTTTCTGTTGCATCCTTGGTGGGCGGTCTTTGTGCAGGCAGAAGGTAAAGGTGAAGAGGCTTCTCATTCCCTCTTTTAGATCCAGGCCTCTGCCTTGCCTAGTCTAGGGAGGTTGGAGGTTCTCTGTGTTGCCCTCTGCATAAATGGTGAGCTTGGGCCTGTTGGAGGGAGGAGTTGAGACAGGATTCTTTACCAAGGGCCCTGGTCCCGGAGGGGCCAGATGCCTGCTCAGGAATGTGGGTGCTCCCTCGCACCATCCTTGGTCCGGATTCCTGTCCAGCATTAACCCGTGCTAACGCTGTGCAGACTCTATGCAGCAGAAGGAACCGTGACAACGTGACAACATCCACCCTAGAGAACGGGTACACCCATGTGGTGGGCTCTAAGGGCCTGTAGTTTTGGTTTCCCTTCTGGGATGACCCTTGTATGTTTTAGTGACTATACTATGGCTGTGGAGAGACACCATGACCAAGGTAACTTACCGCAGAAAGCATTTAATTGGGGATTGCTTACGGTTTCAGAGGGTTAGTCCATGATCATCACGGTTGGAAGCACAGCAGCAGGCAGGCAGGCAGGCAGGCATGGTGTGTGTGTGTGTGTGTGTGTGTGTGTGTGTGTGTGTGAGAGAGAGAGAGAGAGAGAGAGAGAGAGAGAGAGAGAGAATGAAACTAAACCTGGCAGGAGTTTTTGAAGCCTCAAATTCCACCCCCATGACAAATTTTTTCCTACAAGGCCCCATTTCCTAAACCTTCCTAAACATTCCACCAACTGGGAATCAAACTTTTAAATACATGAACCTATGGGGCCATCCTCATTCAAACCAGCACACTTGGGAACCATATCCAGAACCCCAAATGGCTGGGCCTGCCTGTAGCTCACCCACTGGAAACCAAGCGCACTGGGGACAGTCTTCCCTGCATCTCCTCTGAGTTCCGGGGCCAGCCCCAGGCCCATAGCTGCCTACAGTGAAGCTTTCCTGGGCTATTTTTGGTCTCTGTAATTCTTTCAGGAGTTGACATCCCTGTCCCCCCCCCCACACACACACACACACTGTGACCTGGGGCTTGCAGTTGTCAAGGCTTTGAGTGTGTGTGTGTGTGTGCGTGTGTGTGTATGTTTGTGTCTGTGTGTATGCATTTTGGAATGGGGTTTCACTATGTAGCCAGGTTGGCCTTGAACTTGTGGCAGCCCTCTTGCTTCAACCTCCCAAGTGCTTCCTAGCCTGGTTCTGCTTAGTTTGTTGATGGGGAGCAGCCTCGTGACTGACACGTGAGGGTGAAAGATTGGCCTGGACTCTGCTTGGGAGAAAGCCAGCAACTAAATACCAGACTAGATACTCTCAGTCAGGTGTTTTAACAACAACAAAAAAGAAAAAACAAAAACCTAAATTTATTTGTGCCACAGTGCAGACTAAAGGGTCTGCAAGTCACAGGTAACACCTCTACCCCGCTGCCTTAGCAACCTTCTCATGGGGAAGTGCTTCTGCACACCTATCTTCAGTCCCTCCTGTTGCTGCTGCAGGCCACCTCTAGACCCAACTAGGGTAACATACTGGTCTTTTAATACAGGTGTGACTAGATGTGTGGCCTTCACCCCTGTGACTGTCTCCAGGATCACTGAATATGAAAGGAGATAGGGGCATGGATGGGTGGAATGAGGCGCTCTGTGCAGAGAGACACTTCCTTACCTCTTGTGACTTAGCAGCAGGGACCTGCTCATCACTAAAACTCTCACAAAGATGCTCTGCCTGGATGTTCTAGACAGGACCTCAGATATCCAGAGTGGGTAAACTGGCCGTGCGGTGGTCCCCTGGCCATCAATAGGCTACTGAGACAATGGCGGTCTGAGAGCTTGGCTGAATCACAGTATGAGTGGATGGGCAGAGTGAGGTTATTCTATAAATATAGACAAGATGGGTAGAAGGAAGGGGGCTAGGCAAGACACACACACACACACACACACACACACACACACACACACACACACACACATATATATATATATATGGTCTTTCCATCCATGGCTTCACCTAGAGAGGATGCAAGAGGACAAGGCCAGGAGAAGGTGACCATGACCTTCAGGCAGAACCCAGAGTGGCTGCTGTGGGCTTCCTGGGGCCTTCAAAAGAGAGGGCAGTCTCCAGGTCCCCAAGAGGCAGTTGAATCTCAACATCTGTCTGCTAATCAGAGGGTGCCTGCCTGTGTGGCCTGTCAGCCGGCCAGCATATGTGTGCTGAGCACCTTCTACAAGGTCTGCTAGGTACCTTGCTGGGGAAGCCGACTTTCCCCATTAGCCTCGCGCTGACACTTGTACAATTTTCTTCATTTGCTTAACCATCACACCAGCCCTAGAAGTAGGTGCTGTTATGGCATTATCCCACAGATGAGGATGCGGAGGCACCAGACACTCGATGGCAGGCTGTGTCAGAGAGCTTAGCCACCGTGGAGGTGGGGTGCGGGTGCAGTGGTTGAGGCTCCGGCATCTGCGTGCAATGGTCATATGCTCTGTATTTCTGTCTTCTGGTTGCTCGAGCATGTGCGGCCTGCCCTCGCCTGTTGCATGCTTGTGGCACTGGGATCTAGGGATCTCCCGAAGAGAAAGGATTTGCTCATTCTCAAAGTAAAAGCCAGACAGGAACTCATCCACACTCGCACCTTTTTAACATTGAAAGCCACCAGCACTGGGGCAGCAGGGGAAGTGGAAGCTGGCCTTCAGAGTAGTTCTCCATTCCTTTTCACCTTCCAGGTCTCAAGAGAATCTTCTCTTTGATCCACTGTAGCTAGAAGCACAAGGAAAAGGATTCTAGGAGCTGCCGTGCAGCCTGGTTAAGGGGGCATATTACCATGGTACCTGGAGCTCTGAAAGTATGGATGGAGACCAGCAGGAGTAAACAGACACAAGGACACATGGCTGGTCGTAGGCTTCTCTTGGTAATGGAGAACACCAATATATTTAAAAACCAGTGAGGATGGAGGAAGTTGGCGTTCCACAAACAATCTGGCCTAATGTATCACTCACAGAGTACTGCATGCCCAAGCTGCAGCCACAAGCTGCATGTGGAAACAGTTATTGAGGTGGGTCCTGTGCAGGGTTCATTAGCTTTCCATTACTGTGACAAAATGCCCGAGAAAATCGGTTTACAAGAGGACATCTTGGTTTGGGCTCAGATTTAGACGTTCTGATCACAGATTTGTGGTCCAAGAATTTGGGCCTCCCCAGGAGGCAGTAATCATGGTGGCCTCAGAGCGGCCTGAAAGTGAAGAACTAGGAAGGGGTAGAAGTCTCAAATAGTCCCTTCCAGGCACACCCTTGATGATCCACATTCCTTATACTAGGTTCCACCTATTAAAGGTTCCACTGCCTCCCCTACTACCACAGGCCTGGGACCAAGGCTGGAGGGTTTGGAGACCCCCAGGGTCCAAACAGCACCATCACTCAACAAACCTCAGTGCAGAAGACTGAGATCACACAGTGTGCTCGTTAAAGCGAATGAGAGACAGGCCTGGAAGTTTCCACCTAACATCGTGCCTACTCAGGAGGCTCAGGCAGGAGGATCAAAAGTTCAAGACCAGCCCGGGGCTACAGTGAGTCCCAGGGCAACCTACACAAGCTGGTGAGATTTTGCCTCGGGATAAACGGTGTGGAGGAAAAGGACTAGAAAAAGCCAGTGTTGAGTAGTGATCTAACCTGTGTGAGACCCGAGATTTAATGCCAGCACCGGAACAATCAAAATTAAAAACCTAAGCAGTTTATCCAGAAGTCTCAAATGGTTGGAAATCAAATATTCTTTCTTATAGCCCATGCCTGAGAAGAAAACATGAGTGGACTTAGAAAGCATTCCAGACTATGCGGCTCTAAGAGCCCAACACATCAAAACCTGTAGGATGCAGTGTAAGGCATATTTACAGTGGTTCTCAACCTGTGGGTCGCGGCCCCTTTGAGGGTCACATATCAGCTGTCCTGCATATCAGCTATTTACATTACAATTATTAACAGTACTGAAATTACAGCTATGAAGTAGCAAGGGTCACCACGACAGCAGGAACTGTATTAAAGGGTCACAGAGTCAGGAAGGTTGAGAAGCACTGATTTAGAAGGAGATTTATAACTTCAAATGCTTCTATTAGGGACAAAAGTAAAAACACAAACACCAAAACAGAAAAGCAAAACTTTCACCTTACAAAACTAGAGAGTTAAGAACACATAAAGCTCAAGTCAAAGAAAGGAAATGATATAGATGAGAGCCGGTCAACTAAAGAGAAATCAAATAGTAAAGAAAACCATCAGAGCCGAAAGTTTTTAATTTAGTGGCATGCATTACCTGTATAAAGTAACTGATTTCACTGTGACAATTTCATACTGAATACTGCTCATTTTAATATCATTTACCCTGATGATCTTTCAGTGCCCCCTCGATCCCAAACCACCCCTTTTTTCTTCTACACTTTTATAAATAACAGGATTCTACGCATGAAAGAACATACCACTTTCTGAATCTGCTTATTGCGCTTAGCGTGATGATCTCAGGGTCCTTCCAGTTTCTCTCATGGGGTGCACTTTCTTCTCGTTTGTGCGTGAGTACGGCCCCATTGTGTAGGTACATGGTCAGGCGTGGGTGGCAGGATCGCATGGCAGTTTTACTTGCAGGGTTTGGAGGACTCTCTGTCCCAATGACTGGTGACAATACTGCTGTCCACTCCACCAATGGGTTCTCCTCACCTTCGCCAGCGTCTTGTTGTTGTTTGTTTGTTTTCTTGACAATAGCCATGCTGACTGGGGTGAGAGACTTTGAACATAATTTTGCATTTCCCTGATGACTAAGAACGTTCATTACTTTTTTTGGCCTTGAATTTATTGGACATTTTGTCTTTCTTCTTTGAGAAGTATCTGTTCAGCTCATTTGCCCATTTATTGATTGGATTATTTGTTCTCTTGGTTTCTGTAGCTATTTATAGATTCTGAATATTAATTTCCTGCCAGATGTATAGCTGGCAAAAGTTCCCTTCCACTCTACTGCTTCCTTGGCTGGGAGAAGCCTTCTCATTTCACGCAATTCCATTTGTCAATTTTTTATTACTGTTTCTGAGTTATTGAGTCCCTGTTCAGAAAGTCCTTGCCCATGTCTATTCATCAAACGTCCTTTTCCAAGCTCAGATCTTGCCCATGAAGATCAATGACCCGTTTTAGTTAGATTTTGTATAGGGTGAGAGATAGAGATCAGTTACCCTCATCTGCATGCGGATAGCCAGTTTTCCTAGCACTGTCTGCTGAGAAGCTGTCTTCTCTCCAACAGATACCTTTCCTCACTTTGTTGCTCTTCATGGATTTCTGGGTTCTCTATTCTATTCCTTTGGTCTCTGTGTTGGCTTTTGTACCAGCCCGTGCTGCTTTTGCCGAGGCTCTTCTGTAGTAACTTGAGATGGGCAAGTGATCCCTTCAGCAAAGCCCTTTCCACTCAAGATTACCCTGCGTTCTGATCTTCTGGCTGTAAGTTTCCTGTGTGTAGATCAAAAGTTAGGTTTCAGACCAGTTAAATTAATAACACTAATCTAGACTGATAT